GGCGTGAAGTGAGAAGGGGAAGGAACGTGATTTGCATTTTCTAATTTTTGAAAACCATTTTTCAAAATGCCAAAAAGAACACGTTTTCAAAAATCTCAAAATGGACACTCAAAACACAAAACTCAAAATAAATTCAAAACTAATAATTGAAACACGAAAAAAACAGCCTCTTAGTTGTTCACGGAATTAGGAAGATATTTTGTGCCTTTGGGAGTGGGGCTGCCAATTTTCTTTGAATTGACACTTGTCGATGATTTTTAAATAACATTTTTTGGAAGTCAAATGGTTAGCCGTGTATTTGTGGTACTAGGTGCAAGCAACGTGCAATGCACGTTTGCCTAATTTATATTTAATAGTTTTGTTTAAGAATTAGGCCATATTTGGGAGGGATTAAATTTTTCTACAGTAAATCAATTCTTATTTTCAACCACACATTCTTCAATAAAATAATATTTTTCATTACATCAATAATTTTCTCTTCTTTTTCAACCACAAATTTCTTATTATATCACTATTCAAAATCAATTCTTCCCCCAAAAATCTCTCACAAACAAGCTCTTAATTTGTTATTAATAAAGATGTAATTTTTTTGGTTAATTAAATAATTAATGATGTAATGTTTATGTAATTGATAATTAGATGTGTGATTTTGATGTTGTGATGTAAATTAGTGAGATCGAAGAAAATAAGCAAAAGTTAACAAATTTGGAGAAATGGCTAAATTGTAAGGGATCCAAAGTTCAGGGACTAAAATGTAAATACTTAAAAGTTGTGCCGAAACTCATGATGAAGATTTGAGAGTGCTCGGAGTCAATTGGATAAAGGAAGACATCAATGTAATCAAATTTAGTCAAAAGATGATCACAAATCAATTTCCAACCGAAAAGTTATGCTCCGATATTTTAGTCTCATATTGAAACCTATTTTTGGCATAGAAAGTGATCGAATTGGAGAATGATGTCTGAATCAAAGTTGTAGCCAGATGAGTTAGCTTTCCAACGCATTTTGAATCGCCTCAATCGGATGTCGA